ATGGTCTCGATCTCTTGACCTCGTGATCCACCCGCCTCGGCCTCCCAAAGTGCTGGGATTACAGGCTTGAGCCACCGCGCCCGGCCCTTGTTTTGTTTTTGAGACAGTCTTGCACTGTCACCCAGGCTGGAGTGCAGTGGTGTAATCTTAGGTCACTGCAACCAACACCTCCCATGTTCCAGGGATTCTCATGCCTCAGCCTCCCAAGTAGCTGGGACTACAGGTGCTCACCACCATGCCTAGCTAATTTTTGTATTTTTTAAACACTTTTTTGTTTTTAAATAGAGACGGGGTTTCATCATGTTGGTCAGGCTGGTCGCAAACTCCTGACCTTGTGATCCGCCCGCCTCAGCCTCCCAAAGTGCTGGGATTACAGGTGTGAGCCACTGCGCCCAGCCTTAATTTGTGTATTTTTAGTAGAGATCGGATTTCATGATGTTGACCAGGTTGGTCTCGAACACCTGACCTCAGGTGATCCGCCTGTCTCAGCCTCCTTGAGAGCTGGGATTACAGGCATGAGCCACCTCACCCGGCCTTATTGATTATTTCCATGTTTCTGGTTATGATGTTATGATCTTTTGTATTTGTCCTCATAGTCAGTTGTCTTTCCTTATTAACATGTGAAAGCTCTTTCCATACTGAGTATAAGATATTGACTGAGAAACATTCTTTTTTTTTTTTTTTTTTTTTAAGACGGGGTTTCACCATATTGGTCAGGCTGGTCTTGAACTCCTGACCTCAGGTGATCTGCCCAGCTCAGACTCCCAAAGTGCTAGGATTACAGGTGTGAGCCACCGTGCCCGACTGACTGAGATACATTCTCTATGTCTTGCCTTAAGAGGGTTCAGGGAGCAGAGACATTGCAGCAAAATGCAGGAAGAAGGGGTTGTCCCAGGCCTCAGGTGGGGGAGTCTTTGGTGTCTTTAAGCCCCCACCTCTCAAACAAACAAACAAACAAAAAAGCCACGTACAGTCACTCACGCCTGTAATTCCAGCATTTGGGAGACCGAGGCGGGTGGATCACCTGAGGCCTGGAGTTCGAGACCAGCCTGACCAACATGGAGAAACCCCGTCTCTATTAAAAATCCAAAATTAGCCGGGGGTGGTGGCCCATGCCTGTAATACCAGCTACTCTGGAAGCAGAGTCAGGAGAATCACTTGAACCAAAAGTCGTAGGTGGCATTGAGCCAAGATAGTGCCATTGCACTCCAGCCTCAGCTACAAGAGCAAAACGCTGTCTCAAAAAAAAAAAAAAAAAAGCCTCCTATCTTATCTTTTTTTCCCTTCAGGCTGTGGGCAGAGTCAGGACAGGGTGGCGGACAGGGAAGGGAAATGAGAGGAACCAGTGGGGGAAGCATTTCTAAGCTGGTCTGAGATACTTCCTTCTCTGCCCAAGGCAGCTTACCCTGGCTTCCTCCTAGGCATGCAGGGCAGGGCCTGAGTAAGGGTCCTAGTGGGATGGGGCAGGGGGCAGGCTGAAGGACGCCCACCTGACGCACTCTGAAGCAAGGTCTTCCATCAGGCCCCCAAGAGATGACTATCAGTGATTTCTCAGGGTGTTTTCTCCTCATCACCATCTCCCCAAAAACCATTGCTCTTCATGAGCAGGGATGCACCCGGTGGCCTCCTGCACCTCTCACCCTTTCCCTCCAAGTCCACTGCTTCCTTCCTCATCCCACAGGAGCTGGCCAGCCTCATCACCTCCACATCTCCCCACCTCCATTCTGCAACCACAGGGGCCTTCTGTCTCCTGTCCCGCCCCGTCCGCGAGCCAAGCCTCCCTCCTCCACCTCCTCCGCCTAACACATACCCTTAAGTCTCACCTCCTCCAGGAAGCCCACCTCCTCACACTAACCC